CCTCTCACATTTTCTTTCTCTCTCTCAGTTCCTCTCATATGCATCGCGTGCCTGTAGATATGCATGTTTTTAGTTTCTGAAGTCTCTTTATGTAAAGAGCAAAAAGTCTCTTGGTTTTGCGTTTGATTACAAACTATTAACCATTTTCCAGTTTATTTTCCTGCTGGCGCGTGGACGACAAAAAGCCAACGCGGAAACAGCCTTTTAGATGAAAACTGCAAACTAAATTATCGCGAAACATGTGAAACAAATTAATGTGAGAGTACTGTAGACAAATGGGGCAAAATGTTCCAGTTTTTGTTTCTTTTTGGTTGTTTCTTTTTTAATATTGACTTGGTTTTGTGGAAACTTCCGGTAAAGTTCAGTGTGGGATATTCGACTAAGGAGAGCAATGAGATATTCAATTCTTCGGATATTTTCGCCATTTAAGGGGAACGAAAAGAATACTTAGACCAATATTGGACATATAGCAATATCGGTTCAACGAAAAAGATACATTTTCATTCATCTGTCTGTCTATCGAGCGACGTAAAAAAAAATTATCCATTCAACGAGAAGTATAAATAAAAACATACCAGAAAAGGTCCAAATACTAAAAAAAAAAAAAAAAAAAAAGAAAAAAAAAAAAAAAAAAAAAAAAAACGAAGTAGATATTTATTTACCACAAAGGAAAGGGAAAGAGAAGAAGAGATGAAAAAGATATTATTATTATTATTATTATTATTATTATTATTATTATTACATCATCATTGTTATTATTACTGTATTTTATTTATTTATAATTTTATTTTATTTTTATTTATTTTTTATCATGCTTGTTTGTGTGTGTGTGAGAGAAAGTGCGTTGCGTCGTGTGTGTGTGTGTGTGCGTGTGCGTGCGTGAGTCTACATACAGAATATGTGTGTGCGTGTGTGTGTGTGTGTATTTGCATGCATGTCATTCATCCATTAGTCATCCGTACCACTGAGTCACAAGTCGCTCTTGTCACTCCTTTCCAGTCATTCAGTCATCAGTCACCTGAGTCATTCCACCCAGTCATCCAGAGAGAGAGAGGCGACTGACAGACAGACAGACAGGCAGGCAGGCAGGCAGAACTGGCAGTCAGACAGACAGACAGACAGACAGACAGACAGACAGAACAGACAGACAGGCAGCAGGCAGGCAGGCAGACACAGGCAGCAGACAGAGGCAGACGACAGACAGACAGACAGACAGGCAGACAGACAGACAGACAGGTAGGCAGGCAGACAGACAGGACAGACAGACAGACAGACAGACAGGCAGCAGGCAGACAGACAGGCAGCAGAGACAGACAGACAGACAGACAGACAGACAGGACAGACAGACAGGTAGGCAGGACAGACAGACAGACAGACAGACAGAGAGGAGAGGGAGAGGAGAGGGAGAGGGAGAGGGAGAGACTGTCATCCGGATCATTCCACTCATCCATCAGTCATCCACGTCATCCACTCAGCAGTCACTGGAGTCAGTCATTCAAAGAAGTTATTTGTCATTCCATCCGAGTCATCCACATCATCCAGTGGCTCCCTCGGTCATCCAAGACGTCATATCATCCACGAGTAATCCAACGGTCATCCTTTCCATCATTCATCCACTCATGTCATTCCACCGCATCCCAGCCATCGGTCATCCAAGTCATTCCACTCCGTTCCATTCCTTCATCATCTCAACCGCCACATCATGTCGACTTCATCTCCATGTCATCCCCGTCACTTCATTCGTCGATCAGTCATGTTCACTCCATATCATTTCATCCATCTCTCATCCACCGATCATCCATTGATCAATCATGTCACATGTCATTTCATCCATCTTTCACCCACCGATCATCCATGTCCCTTCATCCATCGATCAGTCATGTCACTTCATCCATCTCTCATCCACCGATCATCCATGTCACTTCATCCGATAATACCATTCATACTTCACCCACCGATCAGTCATGTCACTTCATCCATCTCTCACCGGTTCATCCATGTCACTTCATCCATCGATCAGTCATGTCACTCCATGTCATTTCATTCATCTCTCATCCATGGATCACTCATGTCACTCCATCCATTCCTCATCCATCGATCTCTCACATCACTTCATCCACCGATCACCCACGTCTCTCCATCCATCCCTCATCCACAGTCACCCTCTCAGCTGCGCCCCAGACACCGCTCGCCTGGCGGGACATCCACATCACAAAGTGGATAAATGGCGGTACACAGTCTGGCCGAACCTCGATATTTCACCTTCTACCTTCTAAATTATTTTGATTGGATGGATTTCAATGCCTATTTTTCGGATCTATTATCGCAGAGGTTGGATAGGATATTAAGAGCAATTGGGGGTTGGGGAGGTTTTGTGGGTGAGTGGTCGTAGTAACGGGGTTCAGGAGCAACGGTCATATCCTGTGATGTTGCTTTGGCTTATCTGGACACACTGGCGGGAGACGTGGGGTCCATATGCATCTCTGGCAACACTGGCATAGCGAGTGTTGGGTTACACTTGGAGGAATGGTCGCGGGGGTTTAAAAAAAAGAAAGAAAGGGAAAGAGGGAGGGGAGGAAGTGGAGAGAGAGAGAGAGAGAGAGAGAGAGAGAGAGAGAGAGAGAGAGAGAGAGAGAGAGAGAAGAGAGAGAGAGAGAGAGAGGGAGAGGAGAGGGAGAGAGAGGAGAGAGGGAGAGGGAGAGGGGAGACAGAGACAAGACAAGCAGACAGACAGGGAGAGGGAAAAAACAGAGAAACAAAAAAGAAAGATACAGAGAGATAGACAAAGAAAGTTTCTTGACACACTGCATTCGCCGTAATGGTGTAAAAAGTCAGGCGAAATGCTATCGGCGACCACGTGGTGTCAGACGAGAGTGTAATTAAAGACTGTGTTTGTTCTCTCACGTGCGCTATTTAAAGTTAATGTGATTTAATTCATATTAAATGGATAACTTCAAGTGCGCTTACTTCACACACTACCTTAACCGTCTTTTTTAAATTTGACACTCAAACATTTTGATTCTCTATTCAAGAAATCCCCCTCTAAATAATCGAAAATTATGAAAACAAAATCCATGAAATCAGGATAAAAAAGATGTAAAGAAGAATCGAATAAACACGTATAAAACACACAGGCCTTCGCATCATAAGCTCCAACAACAACAATCACAGACGAACACATAAACAGACTTCCCGGTACTACTGCGTCGCCAAAATAAGGAGATCGAGAACGTGTTCCTCGGCAATTTTATTTTTAAACCAGGATCGAGAAAAGGAGGTTTTGATCCTGTCAGATAATAAGTATAGGATCGAAAAAAAGGAGGTTTTGATCCTGTTAGATAATACGTATAGGATCGAAAAAGGGAGGTTTTGATACTTTCAAATTATAAGTATAGGATCAGGATACGTTGATTGACTTTTATGGAATGCGTTGCTAAGAAAAAAAAGAGTTGTAATCCTTTCACAACAGATAATGTAGGATCGGAACGTGTTAGATAACAAATAAGGAATACGTTAACGAAAACGAACGTGTTAGATAA